AAGAAGAAGAAGAGACATACATCCGCACCCATTTTCAAGATTTTGTTATGTTTCAAAGTAACATAGTAGAGCTTTCGATCTATAATTAAAGTTATTATTAAGGCAAAACTATGAAAAAAGGTGAAAAACATCAACGAACATCTTTTTTTTCTCTTTTCTTTCGAGTAGACCTATGAATGAATATTACGATGCGATCGAAATACGTTCTCGTACATTACAATGATTATCAATAGTCGAAACAGAACGAAAAGAAAAGAAAAGAAAAGAAAAGAAAAGAAAAGAAAAGAAAAAAAAAGAATAGAAAGGAAAAGAAAATATAAAATATGATTACCTTTTAATGAACTATTCGATTGGTTTTTGTTAATATTCGGTGGTTGATCAGATGAAGTTGTACGAATAGCTGTTTTACCCATTACTTGACCACTATTACATCTTAATCATGCTTATATTACTTGAGATGGTTCATAGCTAACTGTTGGTTCGACAGCACGTAATTTACGTTGAACAAATAGATCAAATGTTTCTTTAAGTATAATATGAATAAGAGATGATATATGATCAACAAAATCCAGTGAAATCAGTCTACCATATCTGATGGTAATAATTCTTTTTCTCTCTCTTCTTCGATCCATGTTAATGGAGAAAGAAAACGAGATTGTGGTACACAAATACAAAATTATTTTTGAACAGCATCTCGTTTAGGAATAATAGAAATTTGTTCGTATTTAGATTTCTTTTGTTCATTATTATTTTGTAACATTTCATAATGCCATGTTAAATGTTGAACTTCATTTTGATTTTTATGATTAAGACGAAGAACAACTTGGCAAGTATCAGTTGAATATCTTGAATTAATCATATATTCTATTAAAGTATGAATAAATATTAATTCATTATTTAATGATGTTCGAAGATCAATAAGTTTTAATCGATTTCGTTCATATTCAGTTATTAAAGTTCGTGCAAGACCAATAAATAATGATGCAATTATATTAAGATTCGAATCATTATTAAATTAAACATGATCTGTAAGAACATATACAAATGGATAAAAATATGGTGATGATTTTTGAATTGTTTGAAGAATTCATGATAATGTTCCACATATAAGTTCGTCATTTTGTTTCAATGCTAAATCGTCATTATTTTCATAAAGTAATGTTTGATCAAGTTGCCATGCAAAAATAATAAATACTTGTTTATAAGTAGTTAATAAAACTGATATTCCAAAACAAATAATATCTAAAGTTGAATTATGAATAAGAAATATTTTAATATTTGAACATGGTAATAATGACTATAGAATATTAATATTATCATCTTTAGTAAATATTAACCATATTTGATTTTTTCTTTCATTAAGTCTTTGTAATATTTCATTCGATGTTGTTTTTTGACTAATAATTAATGTACTTTCATTTTGATTTATTGTTGATTCAATAATACAAAATCCTTCGATTTGTTCTACTAATGTTGTCCATTGTTGAATATTATTTAATGCACGATTATTATCATCATCAGATGATGACCACCATTGATCAATAAAACCAAAAATAAGATCAAAATAAAGAAGAACATGAACTAATTCAAGTAATAAAAGAAGACCATTAGGAACAAGTAAACAACGAAGAGCAACTAAACAATTTCTTAAATCTTGATTTCCTTGAAGTTGATTGGAAGAAAATATAATATCAAATGATTCGAATGGTATTTGTTCAAGTGTTTTACTATCATATAAATCAATTGTTTCATCATAAATAATAGATAAATTTTTTGTTTGATTAGTTAGATGTGTATTAAATGTTTGTTGAGCATTTGCAAGTTGTGTTGGATCAGAATCTGCATAATATAAATCAATTAATAAACCTGTTTGTTGTGATAAATTAAGAAGAAGATCAAGAATAGGTAAAACATCTGAACAGTCACTATCAGTTAACCAAAATATACATAATCGATAATTCTCAAATGAATTGTCTTTAATTTGTTTTTCATATTGTAATTTTAAATATTGACAAATCGAATGAAAAATTTGCTCAATTTCATCATTACCAAGAAATATATCCAATCCATTTTTTTCTCCACGAAGAATATCTTTTAAATGTGAACCATATTTGTTTAATGTTATTAAAAATAGTTTCAAACGAGGAAAACGTTGAATTAATTGAATAAGACGAAGTTGTGTTGAATGCCATGTTACTTGTTCCAAATGTAAAGTTGAAGCAAGAGAACGACATGCATTTGATGATGGATGATGTTGTTGATCCAAATCAAGATCTTTAATTGCCATTTGAACATAATAAGCAGCTAATTCATTAAATGGTTCTATTGATTCAATTAAATCTTGATTACTAATAGAATTAAGTTGATTATTAAGAATTTGATTAGGTGATGGACGTAAATGTGATATATCTTTTATTATTGGTGAATCAGTTCATACTCTTTTCATACAATAATCATTTATAATTGTATCTAAATATGTTTTATGATCAATATTAGGTAAATCAGTTGTTAGATTTAATTTATCATAAATTGTTTTTTCCATTGACCATCGACCAGATTGTATACGTTGAACTTGTTGAATAACAATATTTTCAAATGTAAATATTGGTTCTTTTATTTTGTTATCCATTGGAAATATCCATAAATCAAGATTATATGTACCTTCTTGACCTATACCACATATATTATCATGACAGAGTACACGTACTTCAACATTTGTTGATTGATTCATTTTTGTTTTAATTTTACTTGAATAAATAAATTTTTGGATACGTACTAGAAGAAATGTTGTGTCAATACCTGGTAATAGAACTAGATATGGATGAAGTAAATAATAAGATATTATTATCATTTGATAATTGAGATATAATTGTAGTTGAAGTACCATGTAATGTTTTTATTTTTTTTAAACTGGATTCATATTGATAAGCACATGTTGAAAGATGTGCATAAGCACTTGTTATATCTTGTATGATCCATCTATCAGGTATTGTTAATGATTTTTGTTGTTTAGAATCAATTTCGATTTTACCTTGTGCATGTAAAGTAAATTCATTTAATGAATATTTATTAAGATTATCTTAATTACAAAATATAATATACCATTCACGCATTGGCATAATTATTTGTATAAATACTTCCATCAATTCATGTTCATTAAGAATAAGTGCTTTAATAAAGTTTACGTCTTCAAAAATAAGTGTTGGTTGTTGTTGATCATCTTCTTTTGGGGGAAGTAATTGATGACAAGCAGTTGTTGCAAGTTCAAGATAAACAACTGCTGGAAAAAGAATTGCATCTTGAATTTTATGATCTTTTAAGAAAGCATGTTGTGGTAAATTAATATTAATGAGACTTTTCTATGTTGCATTTATCGGATCACTTAATTGACGAATACCAAGTAATGGATGAGTAGATATACGATTAGTTAAACGTTGTATAGATGAACCTTTTGATTCATACCAACATGAACTCAAATGAAATTTATATAATGGAAAATTATCAAAATATTCTTCATGATTTTTCATAGGTAAAATTTGACGAGTATGAAAATATTGTTGCCATACTTGAGATGATGTTGTAAGTTGTGCTAAACTAGTAAGTAATGTTATTTGTTCATTTTCTTTTCGTTTTAATGTTGAAAGAATAAGTGGTGGTGATGATTGTTGTTGATTTGTTAATTCATAACATTCACGAATTGATTTTGCTAAAACTGGATGTGGTGAAATTTCAAGAAAAATATTTGCTGCTTCATCTTTTATAATTAATGTTATAGTATCATATAATCGAACAGTTTGTCTTACATTTGACTATCAACTGGTATATTATCATTCATTTTATCATCAGTAATACTTGAATAAAGTTTTGCTTTTGCACATATCGGATTGAAGATTTGTTTTTGATCTTGTATTGGAAGTCCTCGAATATCTTTCAAGGATGAAAGCATTTCTTTTTCAATATCAAATTGATTTATTTAATACGATGAAATGCATTTTCAGTACGAAGACGTGCTTTGAATACATTAGGATAAGATATTGTAAGAATTTGTTGTATTTCATCGATAGTTTTTTCATCACCACTTATTGTTGCTCGACGACGACTATTAACAACAGCAATACAAGCCAAATGTTCAATACCTTTCAGAACTTTATTTTGTACTTCTTCTTCACTCATTGAAAGAGCTAATATACGAATAGTTTCTTCTACATTTAAACAACCAGCAACAAAAGCAGCTGCTTGATCACCAGCACTTTGTGATATTATAGATGATGGATATATAGTCCATGAAATAAGTGAAACTGTTAATGCAACTTGTATAGCAAATAATGTTGGTTGAGCAATATTTGTATCATTAATACGAGATTCTCGTTCAGTTCTCTTCTCAATTAATTCTTCTAATAATCTCCATTCACCATTATTAATTTTTGTCAATTCTCCATCAATTAAATTAATCCATTTATTAAATAAAGGTTCACTTTCATATAATTGTCTACCCATAGCCCACCACTGAGGACCTTCACCACTAAAAACAAAACATATTTTTTGTGCTAATGGTATTGTTGGACGTAATACAATTGAAAAGCCTGCTAATGTTT